AATAACAAGATTCAGACTAAAACAGTGAGACACAGACTCAGAATTTGTTTTATTTATTTTAAGGATTGTGATCATTATCCCACGGAAATGACTCCGCCATTTTAATCACGAAGAACTGTAGGAAGGGAGTGCCACATATATAGGCTATATTATTGCGACAGGCCTACTCGCCATGATGATATCGATACTGATCAGCAGTATGTCCTATTTGCTTTGCTGAAAAACAGAGGGATTTGATCAAGTGTTGTGACTAAAAAAAAGAAGAAGTTGCATATGAAACAGTCTGGTATGGGGCTGTATGTAATGAAGATGGGTGTTTGGGTTTTGGATTCTATGACCGTGTAGCCTCATCTGCAGCGGGGATCTTGGACAGAGAGCACTGTACTAGAACAATGCGGATCATTTCGTGGTCTTTCAGCTGATCACACAGTCACTCTGGGATTTGCGGCGCTGTCTGTTCAGCACATGGGCCGTTATAAATAACTTTTGATATCCCCTTTAATTTTCCATATGCAGAGATTAAGCGCGGATAATATGATCCAAATGTTGAGTAGATAACCCACTAATTGGTTAAACTGCACTGTGCGTGTGTTTGTGTGTGTGTGTTTGTGTGTGTGTGTGTGTGTGTGTGTGTGTGTGTGTGTGTGTGTGTGTGTGTGTGTGTGTATGTGTGTGTGTGAGAGAGAGACGTTTGATCTGGAGGTTCATGGGCAAATTGACTGTGTTTATATGTTGTGACTATTTCTTGGAGAAAATTGGGCTTCATTTAATATCACTGTTATAAGAAGATAACTTGCTTCTCACCCTGTCATTACAGGCAAATGTCACCGTAAAAGAAAGACATGTTACGACACATCTTAAATCGTTCGCTTTTATTCATCCGCCCTGTAATGACACAAACCAGTTGTTCTGTTGGAAGAAAACACAAACAAACTTCAAATTTTCTTGACAACGAAGATGAATCATATTTACTTTAACACACCCCAACAGCTAATCTGAGCTGCATGTTTATTCTCTCCGCTTTATGATTATAGCCCTAAGGATACAAATAGAGTCGTCTGCAGCTTGTCCAAATCTGCATTCATACATTGATGCTCTGCCTTTAGCCAGTCTGAAGATTTGCTCTTTTATTTCCATGCGGACTGACTCGTTGTCTTAATCGAAGCTGCTTGGTCAATAGTTTTTACTCTCTTCGCATTTTTACCCTAATAGCCGCTTTTAGACCAGCCATGGACTTTTTTCTTTCTGTGGTGGTCTGTAGGTATTAGATTAAAGTCTATGTGTTTGAACAGCTGCTTCTGACAATAACTTCAAATTATCATGAAGCGTCAGTCAGTGCACTGCGGCGGCGATGATACACCCAAACTGTGACTCACTGTCAGGTTTTCGTCCATTAGCGACCACAATAACGGCCAAGGGCTGTAAACAAGCGGCCTGGGTCTAAAACAAAAACAAACACTGTCTACTTTAGTAAAGGTGTTCACAGGCGGCCGTTATAGGCCTATCTTTGCGTCATGTCGCACAAGAAGCCTACATCAGTCTAATGCGCATTTGTTCAGTTTTTATGAATGGAAAATATGTAATAGAGAAATGTCACATCCAGGCTATACTGTGACGTACTGGTGTAGCATCAGCATCAAGCATTGTTGTTATGATCACTGATTAAATAGGAATGACTTTGCATTGGAGGTGTATAGGGCGTATCCAGTGTATCAATGAGTTGTACTAAAATGGAAATGCAGAATAGGTTCTATGTAATCTCGGGTAGTCTACGGACAGATGGTATCATATGTCGTACAGGCTGATAAACCTTCAGAGGCTAATTTGAGATTTTGGACAATATTTAAAAAAAATCAACTTGGTAATAGACGAACACAGAGTCCTGAGCCAACAGTTTCTTATCATTTGTGTCCTTCTAAACCTTTAAGCATGTACTGTAGCTTTATCTAGGCTATCATTTTCTAATCTTTATTTTCATATTTTGGTGATAGTGGAGCATATGTTCAATACGAAATAGACAAAGCACTAGCCTACTTGTTGTTTTGCTCACCATATCAGGCTGTTTGTAGGTAAAATGTGAAAGAAGTGAAAGTACTAAAATAGGCAAAGAAAAGGTTTATCAATGCAACAAAGAACCATGGCTATTGCAGTATAATTTTAAATAGCCTCAGTTGCGATTCCAGTTGTGTGAAGACATAGGTAAGAGAAGGAAACTGCAGAAAAAACAAGCAACAAAGGAATATTTAATGGTGTCTTTTTTATTATAGCACATAAACATGGATAAACAAGTAGTAAAAAAAGGAATTTCTCATTTCTCATTAATAGACACAGACAGACAGACACAGACATACACACACACACACACACACACACACACACACACACACACAGACGATGACCATGGCCACGTATAGGCTTGGCAGAGTTGTCGACTGCGGTGGACTGAGTTCGTGTAAGCGTAATGAGGGAAGGCACACAACGCAGCTCCCGAGACACCAACACACTCAGTGCACGCAAACACTCTCTCTCTCTCTCTCTCTCTCTCTCACACACACACACACACACACTGGCGCACACGCCCAGAACAATATAAAGGATTTCACTGGATTACTCTGGACATGGACATAGACTATATAATGTATTTATATGACCATATGTTATTGTAATGAATGGTCACTGAGCACTTTTACATTCAGCTTTAATGGCAGCAGTGGAATTAACGGACTTAGACCTTCAACCTGCAGAAAACACACAAGTGAAAAAGCGATCTGATCTGATCTGAGGTAAACTTAGCAAACGGCTTTATTTCTGCAAACATGTGGCAGAATACTTGAGTCGCCATAGACTTGCGCACTCCAGGACACCGTTTGGCGTTATCCGGGTTAAGGTCTGGCGTCTGGCCTTTTAAATTTCATGGTTGAATCTGAACTCAGCAGCCATGACAAACATCGCACTTGTTAATTCGTCTACTGATTACATTTTCTTTTACGCCACAAAGTCCGAATATTGAATATCACACCAAATAATTCTACGGAGTGAGAAATTATTTTGAATAAAGTTGAATTTAGTCTAGACAAATTAGTGACGTCATTTGATCCTTGTATTCTGGCGTTGACAAAGACAGGATTTGTTTTCAAATCCCAAGACTTGACTAGATATTTTCCTACACGTGTAATCATCACTTGTAAATCACACATCACTTTTTGAAATTTATATTTTTGGTCTCTCTGGTTAAACAGTCATTCTGCATTTGGCAATTTATGGCACAGTGTGCGCCCATGCAGTTTGAGTTAATATCACTATAGGGAAGTGTGGTCTGTTCGGCCGCACTACTATAATTTCACTTATACGCACGACTGTCAGATCTACACACATGTGCACATTAGTTCCCTCGTCTTAAAGTTAAATCCTCTATTTTTTACCCACCACGCATCCACAGTTAAACAAACAAAAAAAAGATAAAATGTCAAACATCAAAACAGCAATTACGCACACCGTCATACACAGGCGACAACCCCAAACAAACAGCCTGCAACACATCAAAACCACAGAAAAGACATGACTGCTTACACTTCCACACAGGCTAAGATTAAAACTCCAGACAATAACTCGTCAGCATCACCGTTTTTCAAAATGCACCAATGTCACATACATCACAAAAATATAACGTGTACTGCTTTTAGTAGGATTCACTAATGCATCCGCTGTGCTGTTGTCTAGCTCACCCAGTCTGCACTTATGCATTAAACTTTCAATATTTATGTTACAATTAGTCTAATTGTGCTCCCTATGACACCGGTGCCTTCTTCAGTTGCCCCCGCTTCGTCGTATATTAGTATTGTGTTATTTGCTGTGTCGCTGGAACCCTGCAGAAGAAGAGTTCACGGTTGTTTCACAGCCTGCTAACTGACAGGCTACACTAGTATATTGCAGGGCAAAACAATAAACTCCTGCCATTAGATAAAACAGTAGGCTAATGTTATCCCTGCCATCAAAGCTTTCATGTAGTTAGTCCTTTAACGAACCTTTTTACCTCCTTTGCTCTGCAGTCTCTTTCCTGTCCACGGCCTTTTCAGTTTGATATGAATTGTTTCACATGAATACAGTGGTGGTGGTTTTATGTTGAGCGAGGAACCCGGATGCAGTCTTATTAACGACACATTTATGAACAATCAAATGGTCCTCGTTAAAATTTATTGATGGGCATAAAAACATGAACGGTCACTAGCTGAATATAGCCCACTGTAGTGGGCTGCTTGTCAAGAATCTGAATCCCCTCCTCTCCTATCTCCGCAGATCCCATTTAGGAAATGTTTGGTCTGTTGCGCCCTCGTTAAAACAGCGCTAACTTTATTGTTGTAGTATCCTGCATGCCGTATTTTGATTCCCTCTCTCGTCTGTGTGTATGTAGCTACTGTGGAGGCTTCTCTCCCCGTTAAGAAATAAACAGCATTCCACGGGAAGTTATAAAGCCTTCACTTTATCAAATGTGCTGCGGGTTTGATAAAGATAAAACTCGTCAGCGATTCAATAAACACTTTAATGCTGTAATACTATTCCTTGCAGCAACACGGGGCTACGGTAGCTTTTGCCAGACAGAGATTGATTACACCATCAAATAGTGCCTCGCTCGGTTTTAGACGTAATGTGCGCAGGTCTGTTCTGCGACTGGAGAAAGGTCCACTATTAGCGCTACAACGGCATCTTTTCCTCATAAAGAAACATGGTTGTTGAAGTTACCTCTAATAACGTCCAAGAAAAAGAGCAAAAGAGCAAATTCTTTAATCCGATTTATGTGCATTGGTATCCCAGGATAAGTGGCGCATTGATCCACTGTACAATTTTTGTGGGGGTAAATATAATCACGTGTCGTTGAGGCAGCCAATAGCAGGCAGGGAAGTGTTGAGAAATAATTACCTGCCTTGATTGTTCTATGGCTAGATAAAAAAAGTACACATACACTCCATATAATAATCGGATGCATGTAAAAGAGTCGGGGAAGCTTCGACATGTCGACCACGGGTCCCATAAGTAATTATTATGTGGACTCCTTGATCAACCATGAAAACGAGGATGTCCTTGCTGCAACTCGGTTTTCGGCGCCCGGTTCGCACTCAGCCGGCCCTCGTCCGACGTCCCTAGTACCGGAGTGTGCCGACTATCCTTCCTGCAGCTTCGCACCCAAGGCACCCGTCTTCTCCACCTCCTGGGCCCCTGTACACTCCCAGTCATCAGTGGTTTACCATCCATACAGTCACCAACCTCACTTAGGCACAGACTCGAGGTATATGCGGTCATGGCTGGAGCCGATTTCAGGCGCCGTGCCTTTCCATGGCTATCCGGGGAACAGCAGGCACTATGGGCTGAAGCCGGACGCATTTCAGGAGCACAGAGCCGGCGAGTGCCTCGGCTCCAGCGGACGGACCTACACGGATTATCTGTACTGCTCATCCACTGACATGCGAGACAAGACGCAGCAGAATGTCCCCTCTCCCGAGTCGGAGCTCCTGGCTCCAGGGAAACATAAAGACGAGAAGCCGGAGCTAGATCCGAGTAAGTTCAAGCTCCTACAGTCTTTTACAACCGGCTGGGAGTTTTGTTTTGGGATTGTGTAAAAGTGATTTTTGCTTAGAGGCATTTTAACGTCCCGCATAAAGTGAAATTATAAGCTGTTTCATCCTCCCTTTTCTGCTCTGCTCTGAATCGCCTCTGCTAGGGGGAAAGCTTTAGGAACTATAAAAGACAAACGCTACTAGGCTAATATTGGGGCTATAAAACCAGACGGGGTTGTAAACATGGACTCAAACCTACAGGAAGACGTTGAATTTGGAAGGATTTTGCATGATGTGAAAACCATGCAAGGTGTTCTTTTTTTTACATGAACAACCTAATCCGAAATATGAATCAATATTCATCAGCAAATGCCTTATGGTGCTTTTTTACGACCATATTTTGACCCCGTGCCATCACATACGGCACACCAAGCCCCATAAACCGGCTTTCAGTCCTGGCTTTTTTATGTAGGCCCATCGTGTGAGGAAAAGCCACATTTTGGCTCAGTTTGATCCCCAGTGGTAAAATGCACTATTCACCCACAAAATAATGGGAAGATGATATGTATATAGTTGCATATGAAAATTTGCTCTCCTGTCTGGGTCCAGAACAAATTCTCGACTCTTGCAGCCAACTTGAGGAATGTAGGGACATACTCGAGGACTTTCACCACGGACCTGTAACGGCTTGAACTACGGGCCATTTTTATGGGCCAATAAAGTGAATAAGCGCATTGAGTATTTTACGACGGTGTTACTCACAAGTTAAAGGGACAAGGAAGCAAATCAGTGTAGGCTTGGATAGTCTGGGGCTGAGGATCTTTCCTCTAAATGTTTACTATCAGCTTAGCCTTAATTGTAAACACCAAACCTGTGTATGACTTGAAACTGTTTTTAATTGTAGCATCATCTCACGAGCCCAGAGAATTGCTGTAAACACTTAATCTGGTGGTTATTTGTCATTGATTCAGTGTTGATAATGTCACTGTGTTGGCCCTATTGCTATTCTGCCTTTATTATCATTATTATTATTATTATTATTATGGTTTTTGTTTGCAGATAATCCTGTGGCAAATTGGATACATGCCCGCTCCACAAGGAAGAAGCGATGCCCTTACACAAAGTACCAGACTCTCGAACTGGAAAAGGAGTTTTTGTTCAATATGTACCTTACTAGAGACCGCCGATACGAGGTCGCGAGGGTCCTGAATCTGACCGAGAGGCAGGTCAAAATCTGGTTTCAGAACCGGCGAATGAAGATGAAGAAAATGAACAAAGAAAAGAACGACAGCAAAGAACAATAATATGGACTGCAGTTAGAAAACAACCATAATAACCACTAGTCACATGGACAGCACAGTTGTACCAAAACACACAATGACCCCCCCCCCCCCCCCCCTTCTCTTCATATTTATCACTTTGTTGGATTTTGTATTAACCCTAATTTGGAGACTGTTTGATGCTGATTATGTTTTTTCCAATGCACAATTATGTGTCAACCGTTAAAGAAAAAAAAAGAAAGAAAACACTTCTAAGGAGAAATTACATTCTGCTTTCACCTCGAAATATCTTTGTGTTTTTTTGTAAGAGGAATTATACAAGCGCTGTTTGGATACGTTAAAACTGTCCGAAGAAAGAGAATACTTGAATTCTTTTGAATTTCACAAACCCATAATTTATGATGTGAATGTTTTTTTCATGTTTACTTCCTTTGTACGTTGTTGTGCAGGTGTAGTATTTTGTACAGAAACAGAACATCTGCGATCGGACTTGTCTGTCTTGTATTTTTGTGATAGTTGTTGCTGTATTTGTGCATCTTTTTTTGGACTGTAGTCTACGAGTTTAATTATAGAGTGTAGATATAGACCTCTGCAAATATAAACATAATCACTAAGAGCTTGTATTCTGTATTTATTATGACTCAGAGTGGGTGTCATGTTTAGTCATTACACGGCTGCACTGAGGGCCTAACAAACATAATCTCATCTATCCTCTCCAGTATTTTGTTGATTTAAAAACCGCAGGAGAGTGGAAGTCACTAAAACTAAGTCATTATTTTACTGGCGAAGCCACATATTGCAAATAGATGAATGATTTGTGCATTATTATGTCTCCACTATTCTTCGTCTCATATGTTTTGGTGGACGGGCAGTCCTCCAAGTACAGCCAAGGCCTAAAACCGGCTGTGCCACCTCAAAAACGGGCGAAGTCGAAAACTTAAACGTCTCAGCGCGGTTAAGACTTAAGCAAGAGAGGGTTGCTTTAATTCAGTGTTGTATTGCTGTAAACTGGGCTCTTAATTAGCCTTCTTTTCAGTTTACAATGTACATTTACAGTTGTACTCATACTAAGGGACAATCTGTATACACACATCAAATGAACACACACACAGCCGTGTTTGCCTGTTAGAGAAAAAATACATTTCTCCAGAAAACATTAAGAATCGGTTCTGCGGTAGAAAATTCTCCTTGCCGATGTGTGTACAGTTTTACTAATGTTGGGCAGCTACAGCAGTAGCCTATAGTTCAATTTAAACTGCACACAAAACATTATTACAGGAGAATATTTATTTATTTAGATATTTATTTAATAGCCAGGATCCATCCCCCTATATATGAAAATGAAAGTATCCAAAAACATTTGTGCAAATGTCACATTTCCAAGAACGTAGCTACAACGTAGGCCTACTCGTTGCTAAATATTTCTAAATGAATTGCCTTGCCAGGCTTGTAGTTCTTTTTTTTTTTTTTTTTTTACGTGCACCGGGTCCATAGGCGATCAGAAAATCCGAGTCTGAATTTGAGCAGCTGAGTTTTAAGTGAGAGACAATTTCCCATGTCTCGCATTTGTTTCCTGGGATAGGTCTAAATTGCCTTTTTGTGGTGGCAAACAATACGGACAGGATGCAGTAATTTCAAAGCCCAATCCAGCGCGTTTCCGCTCGACTCGGACAAAAATGCCAGTTTTACAGCCCCTGTTGGAGCTCGGCTGTTTGTCTCAAATGCAGACGAACAAAGCAAACTCGACTAACTGGCTAGACGTCTGGGCTAAATTACTTTATGGTTTTAATGGACGGTGGTGGTGGACTCGTTCAAAGGAGAGTCATGCGCACTGTTCAGAGGACTTTTGCCTGATGGGCCATCCGCAGCCCCCCTGCACTTCATCACATGAGTGGTCTATTAGCCTACAATTAGATGGGAAAACGTCAATAGTTATTGTTGATAAATATGCGTGCTGCAGAGCACTGTAAGTTCTTATATAAGAGCAGGTAGCGGCCATGACAGGAAAACATGCAGCACAACAACTATTTAGAGTCTGTTGTAAAACAACAGAGACTGAAAGCATGTAGTTACAGATGTGGTGCTAAACAGCTGCTTTATTTAAAGAAAAAGACAAGAAACGTGGACGGTATGGATAGATGAGGAGAACCCTGTCTGTCCACATCGCAGCTGTTTCTGATTGGTGGATTCATTCAGGTTTAGGGTCACATCTCAACACTAGATGACGCTGTTGATCCACGTTTTGAGCGGGGTCTGTGTGTTGAGGGTTTTTTTTTTCTTTTTTTTTTTACAGCTCTGTGGCTTGGCTGAAGAATGAAGAGTAACCTATCGATGACAAAATGACAGATATGGTCACCCACCGCATTTTGTGTAATAGGCCGCAGAGCAGCACTCCGGAATGCAGCGAGCTGGTTGTTGTGTTGGGCACAGAATGTGTGCACAAACAGGGTTTTTAAAAAAAAAATTTTTTGATTCATCATAATTTTTTTTTAGTCATTAGTTTCTGTTTTCTTCTGTCCTGTCATGTGAATTTTTAGATCAGTTTCTGGTTTAAAAGTCTTATCCAATGTCCGTGAATTTATGAGTTAAATGGGATGTTGTGGTATTTTTTAATTGCCATCCGTTTTGTTCCCATTAAAAATCAGATAATTGGGCTCAGACAGATTCTAGTTTCAGAACAAAGGGCATCAATAGCTACATTTAGCCACGGCATTCTGGCTCTGGATTTTTTGTAGCCTGTTTTATGGTTTTATTTTTCATGGTGTAAATTCAAAAGAAAGAGTAAGTCAATTAAAAGACTTTACTGGAAAAACAAACCAACAAAAAAAGATAATTAATGAAGAGCCAGGAACCACGTTTAAATACATAAATACTACTTTATTATCAGTCAGTTCATAAACAATTGCATCAGTGACATCACATCAATACAATAAGCAGGGACAACAGAACAACAGCAACATTATAGACTTAAAAAAATCTTACATCATACCACAACAAAACGTAATAATAATAATAATAACAATAATAATAACAACAACAACAATAATAATAATAATAAAAGTAATAATAGTCAGTAATAATAATAATTCCCTTATTGTCTCTGCACAGTTTGTTAAAAAAAGAGCTACCTGCTCATTTGTATCACTGATATTTGACGGTCTGCACGAGCAGTACAAAGTCCCCAAGAAGGGTGCAACAATGATTGGCAATCTGCATATTTATAGAGTGTGAAAGGTCTATAAATTCGCCCAGTGCGCCTTTCATATTTTACGATGATGTGTATAAAACGTCAGTAACCCCACAAAAACCACACTGGCATATTTGGAGAGAGAGCCCATACAAGTATTGAGCTGGGAATTGTGCGCGCGCTGATTGTAGCTAAACATCCAATGTAAAATTTTATGAACTCCTCCACGAGGGAGATTTACTGCTCATCCTCGCCGGTTTTACGGGGTCAGTAAGTGGCACCTAGTATTCATAGGTCGTGTTTATATTTGCGTGTGTCGGTGTTTTACAGCGCATAGTGCAAGTGTGTCGCTCTTTACTCGATTACACCGAGGAGGATGTTTTGTCTTAAACTCACACACTATTTCACTCGTCGGCCTGTGTGTCATAGCTTCAGTTTGAGTATTTTTTGTCTTGCTTTATGCCACATTTTGGTCTTTATGAACTCTCAAATGCTATGTTGACCTAGTGGAGCCCATAAAAGGTCACCTCTTTTCTAGAAATGACTGTATAACCTTCAATAGGGCCTGAGAGGGCAAACACCAACTCCTGCTATAACAGCTTTATCCGTTTATAAAGAGGAAACCCTTCCTGCTTTATACACCTCATAACCTCCATGCAAAGACAACAAGCCAAACTATAAATCCAGACTATAGTGGAAATAATGCATCACGTCTCGTAGTCTTTATATTTTGACCATTTCACAACTCCATGGATCAGTTTATAACAAAAGCTTTTGTGATAAATATAACATTGATCACATTTAAAGCCTCTTGGGTTGTTGGTTATGATTAGTGCAGCTCCTCTCAAGGTGGATATACGTAGGGCCCACGTCTGACCGGTCGCAGAAAGATGAAGGGGTGGGGGGAGCGTTGGCAAGGAGCGGTGGGGGTGCCGCTTGGGTGGGCGTGGTTGGGTTGGGAAGCTACAAAAAAAAAAAGGAAAAAGAAAGAAAAGAGCAGCGTCTGTGACTGTGCCGGTCGAGCAAGCCAGCTTTAAGCTTAGCTAACGCACATCCAAAGCACATGCCATGAGCCGGGTTTGAGCCCGCAAAACCTGGAAAAAACCACTCACGACTGCGAGAGAAATCCGATGAGAGGAACGGCTCAGAGAGAGTGAGCTGCCGTAGATTGTCCAAAGGGGCAGCGTTTCTCCTAGTTCCGGTTTGTCTGCCTGTGTGCGCTGTGCGAGTTGGGACCCTAAACAAAAGGCTGCCATCATCCTAAAGGAGATATTCAACTGCGAGAGAGCCCGTCTGCTTGATGCTAACTAAACATGAGCTCCTATTTTGTTAACCCTCTTTTTTCTAAGTACAAAGGCGGCGAGTCACTGGAGCCAACTTACTACGACTGCAGGTTTCCACAAAGCGTTGCCCGCAGCCACACGCTGGTTTACGGACCCGGAGCAGCCGCACCGGGCTTTCAGCACCCGTCCCATCATGTGCAGGACTTTTTCCACCACGGGACCACGGGGATCTCCAACCCCGGATACCAGCAAAACCCCTGCGCTTTGGCTTGCCACGGAGACGCAACGAAATTTTATGGATATGAAGCCCTTCCGAGGCAAACGCTTTATGGTACCCAGCAAGACGCAAGCCTAGCGCAATACCCAGACTGTAAATCGTCGAGCAGCTCTAACCCCGGAGAAGGACAAGGCCACTTAAATCAAAACTCCTCTCCCAGTCTTATGTTTCCTTGGATGAGACCCCACGGTCAGAATCATACAATTATTTCCTATTCTTTCTGTGTTACTCGGTGCGCGCGCGTGTGTGCGTCAGCGTGTGTCTGCCCGTGTGTTTGTGTGCATGTGTGCTAAATATGCCTGAGT